TTTACTTGCTTACATCAGAATACAGCATTATACGGCATACAGAGAGAACTTTCTGTAGGTATCATAGATAAGCGAGCATAGAGACTAACATTGCACAACAGCACCATCTACAGCTCAAAAGACATAACAGTACATTAGCATATACAGCTGAATTTCCCACACTAAATACCCTCCCAGCAGACAGTATTAGGTGCGGATTAATTGCTGGGAACTGCTGATTGGGAAATACCTAATGGTGGACACTGGAGTTAGAAACTTCAGGTCCAAAGACCATAGTGCCACCAGCAGGTGTTTGGTTCCTGACAAGAACAGTGGGCCACTCACACTCCACCTCATCTATTCAGAGAATATCTTGTATTTTTTTTCCAGCCAGCCCCTTCTGTATAAAAGGATGGGTTTCTAGTAGCCATGTTGACAATGTGCTTTAGCTGCGATAGGGAAAGCACAGGAATTGCTACTAATGTGCATAGGAACATATAATTTTACAGTTTTTTAGGCACTGGCTGCTTTCCTAATACAAATGGAAACCCTTACTAAATGTCCTATAGGTAGCAAAATGCTGTGGATCTTGGATAATTTGGGGGTGGGGGAGGGAAGACTTTTTATATCTTAATTCTGTTGATCTCATGCAGCCTCTTTACAGCCTGTCCCTGTTCACGTGTACTACAGTGATAACAGGCTGCATTTGTTTTTCACAGAGTGTATTTGCCAATTGTTACTTGCTGCAATTGTCCTTTCCTAATCTGTCCCTGTTTACATGGACTACAGTGATAACAGCCTGCATGTGTTTTTTCATTGTTGTTGAGTGTTGGAATTGTTTTTTTTCCCAGGTGTTTAAATGGCGACAATAGTGAAATGCCTGTGCAATGCACATCAGCACAGAAGCTTGCAGTTTGTTTTGGGAGGGCATGTGACATGGTCATTTATATTGTCACCCCATAACACAAAATGCCAAAACAAGGGCCTTTATGATGGTATCACCAGCTGTTATTTTTATGAAAACTAGTCATTAAAATAAAATAGGTTTTCCAAGAGGTATTATCATGTTAATGCTTACATGAGATTTTAGTGGTTGGGTTTACATCTACATCAATATCTAATTTTTCTATTAAATCTGGTCTTTTCCCCTTTTTAGATAAAAAAAAATAGCTTGAAGTAATTACAATGCACCAGGCAGTACACAGTACACCCTCACCCCAGGTGCACTACAACCTTGATATGCAGGTGGATGGGGTGAGGAGGAGGAGAGATGGTGCAGTATGTGTGGGGAGGGTGGTGAGTGGGGACATAAGGAGAGTGAGGGTATTGTGCCAGATTCCCAGTAGAAACGGAAGGTAGGCTTTCCACAAAGGGCCGTAAGAAGGGCTTGGTGCCCCCTTAGTGAGGCAGGGATTGTGATTACAGAATTCAGTGGGTTCTAGTAATTCCATGAGTGCTAATCCTAGGAAAGCACTAAGGTGATATTGGTGACACTAATGTGCAGGTGCAGCCAGGGCAATGAAGCCTTGCACTGCTTAATATAAACAAACAGCAAAACCGTCACCTTCAGATGATAAGTACAGTATGTATTTGTGGATGGGGGTGAGTGGGTTAGGTTAGCTCAGGGTAAGGGGGCAAAATACATTTTGTTGTAAAGTGTACTTATTCTTTAACAAGCCTAACCTTTAAGGATATTTAAAAATTAAAATTAAGTATAAATTGTTTATATAGAGTTTACTATTGTCATTGGTATTAAAAACAATTGCTGAAACTTTATTATATCAGTGCAGAGAATATAAACATTCTCGCATGTTACACATTACAGAATGTTTGTTTTGTAAAACACAAAAAATATGTTAAACTGAAGATGCAAAACCACTTTTTACATATTTATAGCATAACACATTTTATGTTCAATTATGTCAAGAAAGAAACACAAAGAGTACAAATGGTATTTCCAACAAACCTCAAGGAAAAAATAGAAACCTTTTATCTTCCAGAAATCATCTGATTTTCATTTTACCAAATTCTAGATCAGATGATAAGTCATTGGCCATCTAAGGAGACCACCTGCATTTAGAATTGTAGAGCTAAAAATATATCTTATTTTCCTTTTTTTGACCTCAAAAAATAGTTTAATTAAAGATCTCTAATCTCTTAAAAGATATTCTGCACGCATAACCCTCCATTTAGTATTTAAGAAGCATCCCTAAGGATACTCCTCATAGGCAACATCAGCACCCTTATTTTAATTTATAGTTATTTTGTTATTGTTATAATGCTATTTTATTGTTATGTTATTGCTCTTATGTTATGTTATTAGACTGTTAAATTGTATTGTTTTTTAGTAAGATGTCACGTTTTCATAATACGGACTTTCCAAAGTGCATAGCATGCAATTAGTTGTCGACCTACTATATTTACGTGAGTTAAAAGCTGAAATTGGTTGCCTTGGCTTAAGTGCAAATGTTATTGTCTTTTAGTAGACAGTTTCTGTCCTACTGATTTTGTGTGGTGTAAATATACAACAGTAAGTGTAAGTAATAAGAAGCATAGGGGTCTATTCACGAAGCTGCCGAAGGATCTGGCCGTAGCTTCGGCCGATCCTTCGGCTAGCTTTGGCCCCAGGACCCCTTCGGTTCAGTAGAACCGAAGGGGTGCTGTACGGGCTATTCACAATTTCTATGCATACGCTTTTCATTTTAGGGGTACATTAAGTGTTAGGGTAATGATAAGTGTTACTGATCGGTGAAAGTTTAGTGAGCCATGGGCGATAAGTGAAATGTAATGTGCTTACTTCAGAGCCTCCTAAGAAAGGACAACGTAAAGGAAGATATATTTATTGGCCTGACAATAGTATCAATTATTAAAATATTGCCGCAATGATATGTGCTTAACCATGTAATTAAATATATACATTATACATTTTGTGCAATAACTATTTTCAGGTTGGCTAAGCACTTGCATCACTATACACCTGATCTGCAAGGTGGTTTAAACCTGTATCATCCCTTACACTACATTCTCAGGCCAATAGGGCTATTTGTTACAATCTTGCTTTCTAATCACAGTGGAACTTGTAGCCTGAAGTCTGTTCTTATGTATTTAGGAAATGCCTCTGATTTATTCAGCTTCCTGGCAGATATTCATAGAGTCAGCTAAGCACTACCATCTTAGCTAGATAACATCCAGTAAGCTTTTTTCATAAATTGCCTTTAAACCAACAGCTGTTTTGATGTTTTCTTTCAGTGATAGTATAAAAGGCAACTAATGAATAAAGCTTGCTTTATATTATGCATTTAAAAAGAGTGCTTAGCTAAATTACTACAAGTGGGATTTTTTGAATTCTTCAAACAACAGTTTTGTAGCTGTGCAACGCTATACTTTAGCAGAGTTTCTCTAATATACTAAATAGCAATGCTTTTCTTTTCACATGTATATTAGCTTTAAAACAACCAATTATACCAAATATTCTCTTGCTTTCAGGTTCTGTATGAGGCTGAAATGTATTCATGCTGAAATATATGGCATATTTACATGGATGGGGGGCATCTAAACAGGAAATATTAGATATATGCACATACAATTAAAGCTGCACTTCAGGCAGATATAAAAGATATGAATGAATGCAGCTTTGTTTTTGTTAAGGCATCCTTAATTGTATTCTTTTTTTAATGCAAGCAGTGTAATACTTGAATTTGACTTGGTATCAGTTTGTTGCTGTCCTTGTAAAGCAGGTCCAAAAAAGAGGGAGAAGCAGTACAAGAAGCATGATAGTTGGAGGAGAGAGCAGAGGAGTGAGCGATAGGATCATCATTATGCTGCTACTCCTTTCACTATCCGGTCATATGCCACATAGGGCTGCGTGATATGGCAGAGCTGTGTAAATCTCAGAACTAAAACAAGAAAATGGAAGAGAGCACTCAGGATTTCTAAAAACCCAATTCATATATTCCAGAAAGAAGTAAAAATTGATACTTATTACCAACATAAAAATCAGACTGAAGTAACCAGGTAACTTTAGGTTGATTATTATGTTGGTACCTAGCGGCTGTATCTATTTTACTTACCTAGGATAAATCCTAGAACTGAATGTATCTGTAAAAAAATAAGTCAAGGCAACTGGACTTGATGTATTTTTCTTGAAGACGTTTCACTGGTTATCCAACCAGCTTTCTCAATTCAGAATGACTTGTACAAAAATTCAGTCATTCTGAATTGAGAAAGCTGGTTGGATGACCAGTGAAACGTCTTCAAGAAAAATATAGCAAGTCCAGTGGCCTTGACTTATTTTTTTTACAGATATAGCATGACCTGGATGAATGAGAACCTTCACAGACTAGAACTGGATGGTCAGAAATAAACCTTCTTTAGTAGGTAAAACAGATCACTTATATGAATGACATTCTGCATATAGCTGTTTCATTAGTTGTTGTATAATGGCAAGCTGTCATGGCTCTTACTTTTTGAATTGTTTTTAAATATTTAATTTTGTTTTTAAATATTTAATTTGTCAAAGCAGGTCTTGTTTTGTTACAGATAGTTTTTTTTCCAGAATTGTTTTATTTTAGGTGGAGCTATGGTTCCAATTAAGCTTTGCCCAAGACATAAGCTCACCCCTAAATAATGTTTAGAAACAGTAAAGAATGGTCATCATACTTAGCTTTCATCCACAACCCTTGAATCGTGTGCTTTGCTTGTATCGATTATATAAACAAATCATGTTGATTATATGAACAAATGCCAGCATTTAGTAATTTGCTTTCTGTTAAAGGAGCGGACCAGGGATGAGGCAGAGCTGCTGACTAGCAGGCTCTGCCAAAACAAACATTCACTTCAGTTTTTGCTCACATAATCAACAAGGAGCCAGAGCTTTAAGAACCTATGCTGATTGGCTTTGGGCTTGTGTTGATATCATCAGTTGACATCAGTTTCAGCACCTGTTCACACTTTCCAGTTGCTTTGCACAGTCCCCGTGGGATGAAGTCACTGGATCGCAGAAACAAAGCCTCCCCCTAGAGGAGACGTGGTGGTGCTATTCATTTCAATGGCACCACAGACATGCATACCGCCCGCATTGCTATTGCACCAGAACTCATGGTACTGCAATGCCCTGCGGTGCCATCACAAAGAATAGTACATTTATGAGTGCACTGGATGGTGTGAATGGGCTCTAAAGCTCATCACACATGTTATAATCTGATTGTACAATCTCCTTTAAAACTACCAACAAATATGTAGTGCAAGGGCCTGCCTGACTGATTGTATATTTAGTTTGTAACATGTATGGTGACCCTTAAATGTTTCTGAGATAATTCAGAACTTATTGACAGGTGTATGTGACCTGCAGTTGACCTTCATATGACCTGCATTTACCCTTTTTTGAACCCGTTTTGCATTGTCAAAGATTTGCATGTCTGATAAGAACAAAAGCTTGTCAACTTGACACAGGCCCTAACTCATACTACGGGTCTGCTTTTAAAGGAGAACTATGGGGTTAGTGTTTTTCCCCATAGTTCTCCTTAGGGTAACGGGAGGACACAAACTAGCGTCCTCCCGTTACCCTAAGCTCAGTATACCGCAAGCTACAGCTCGCGGTATACTGAGACGGCGCAGCCGGAGCGGATCACGACTTAGATGACGGGATCCGCCCAGCTGCGTGAGTGACAGCTAGCTCTGCCTCAGCGCTGTGAGATCGGAGCGGGGAGAGGGGAATCCAGCCCCTCCCCCAGTCACGGCAGAGAGCCATGACAGGATCGAGAGGCGAGCGAACCCGGTATATGTTCGCTCACCTCCCGATCTACTGAGCCGACCTGTGACAGTCTCTTTGTCACAGGTCGGCTAGAACTATGAGGTGAGTGAAAAGCACCTCACTCACCTACCTAAACGGGACCATAATAATTGAAACAAAACTAAGCACACTAACATATACCAATATATAGACCTGATTTGCAAGGAACATGAAATGCAAATATTTGTTGATTACTACATTTTTAGTATTTGTGCACACACACACACACACACACACACACATCAAGCAGGTACACAATAAATAAAGTTTCATATTATATACTGCTTTATATTATGGAAAAGGAAACTATATTGGCATATTTTGTTTTATTCTTCATGTATGTTGTAAATAGTAAGTTCACTTGTATTAAAAAATATTACAATAAGATAATCAGCACATTATCATTAAACAAAACCTAAAGCATGTACCAAGAAAACACTTCCAAAAACTTCCCTAACCCTTGATATTAGTTTTTAGGATGTGAACTGAAATCTAGAAATTACAATGTAAGTCTACACCTTTCACTACTCACATACAAAAGACTCTCTTATAGTTATAGCTTATAGTAAGCTGACAATGTTTGCATTGATCTATTTATATTTTAACTTTGTGCTGTTTGCCCAAAGCAGCATGCTGCAAGATTCAATCTTTTTAAAGGAATTAGAACATAACAATTACAAAAATTGATGTGGGGAGATATTTCCAAGCATTAAGGCAGACAGTACCATGCCTTCCTTAACAATATGTTCAAAAATATTTTTTTTGTTAGTAAAAACCCTAGTATACCACAAAGGAGCTGCTTGCAAATGAAAAAGCAACAAGAAGAGTATTATATCATGTTGGTTGACTGAAGAAACCTGTTGCCTACTAAGCAAGTCATCACCTCACATTGCTAATAATATCTCTTTCTGCACAGCACCTACCCTAGTTTGGCACCCAAACATTTTAGTGAAAGATGGATTATTGCTTCACATTCTTATGCACAGGTTGAAGCTGAAGTCTTTTGTATATGAAAACTAAAAAGAACTCATAGCTGTTAATGAAATTATTATTTTTCAGTATATTACATAGTTTCTTAACTTATCTGACAATTTATTTTGTAATCTCTAATTTTGCTTTCACTTTTTTTTTTAGTAATTTCAAGCGCCCCAGAACAAGGGCCACCGGGTCCTCCTGGTCCAGTTGGCCCAAGGGGATTGCTCGGGCCTCCAGGACCTCCAGGAAAACCAGGATATGGGGCCCCAGGGCCACAAGGAGCTCAAGGAGTGCCTGGGCCACCAGGATTCACCTCCATTGGAAAACCTGGTCAACCAGGCATACCTGGTAAGCAGGGGGAACGTGGATATCAAGGAGATAAAGGCGACACTGGGCCTATAGGACTACCAGGACCAAGAGGTCAGCAAGGACCACCGGGATATCCAGGACCTGCTGGAATTTCTGCTGTTGGTACACCAGGTCAACACGGCATAGTAGGAAACCCTGGGGCAAGAGGTGTACCTGGATTTAAGGGTGAACCTGGCATGCCAGGAATAAGTGGAGTCAAAGGACAAGATGGATATGGAATTCAAGGTCAACCAGGAGAAAGAGGTTCACCTGGTTTGCCCGGGCCACCTGGGCCACAAGGTCCTCCTGGAATAGGCAAACCCGGCATAAATGGTCTTCCTGGACAGCCAGGAAAATTAGGTGATAGGGGTTTACCAGGTGAATCAGGAATACAAGGTTTACCGGGACCCCAAGGCCCACATGGTCAGCCAGGGGCACCAGGTATTGGTAAACCTGGAATGAATGGTACGCCAGGATTGCTGGGGCCTTCTGGACCTAAAGGACAGCCAGGACTACCAGGCATGCCTGGTCCTCAAGGAATGCAAGGTTATGGAAAGCCAGGCTTACCTGGAGTAAAAGGACAAAGGGGGCCTGAAGGGATTCCTGGTGTTCCCGGAATTAAAGGTGATCAGGGACCATTAGGTCTTCCAGGGCCGCCGGGATTACCAGGGTTGCCAGGAAATGGAGGTATACAGGGACACAGAGGGATTCCAGGAGAAGTTGGCTTTCCAGGACATAAAGGTGAGGTTGGAGCAAAGGGGTTTCCAGGAGCTCCTGGTCCAAATGGTGAGAGAGGTATTCCAGGAATAGATGGAAAAACAGGATATCCAGGTGAACCAGGGCTTGCTGGTCCCAAAGGGCCACCAGGAATTGCAGGACAAAAAGGAGAGAAAGGGTTAGTAGGACCACCTGGTACACCTGGAGCAACTGGTCCAGCAGGTCCGAGAGGAGAAATGGGTTACAGTGGAGAACAGGGGCCAAGAGGGGCTACAGGAATACCAGGTATGAGGGGGCCATCAGGAGCACCAGGAATTTCAGGTCCACCTGGTCAGAAGGGGGAACAGGGCTTCCGTGGCCTACCAGGTCCAGCTGGCATTGCAACAAATGGTATACAAGGACCAATAGGACCTCCTGGAATTTCTGGTCCAAGAGGAATCAATGGTGAGCCAGGATTGCCTGGTCAACCGGGTCCACCAGGCCCACCAGGTCAGGTAATAATCCCACACCACTTGCCTGATGGCTACTCAAAGTCAGGGCAAATTCAAGGCCTAAGAGAAATTCGTATCTCTGCATTTACTGCTGTTCTTTCCAAAGCCTTTCCAGCAGTGGGAGTACCTATAAAATTTGATAAGATTTTATATAACAGACAAAATCATTATGATGCTCAAACTGGAATATTTACATGCAGAATACCAGGACTATATTATTTTGCTTACCATGTGCATGTAAAAGGCACACATATTTGGGTGGCACTATACAAAAATGGTACACCCTTAATGTACACATATGATGAATATAAGAAAGGATACCTTGACCAGGCATCGGGAAGTGCTGTCATAGACCTAACTGAAAATGACCAAGTTTGGCTCCAATTACCCAGTGCAGACTCCAATGGCTTATATTCTTCTGACTACATACATTCCTCTTTCTCAGGATTTTTATTTGGCCTAACATGATAAGTCATTTTTATATTTCCAATTTTATGCTTGAATTTTTTTTGTTACATCACATTTTTATGTTGATAAAAAATTACAATACAATATATTGTATTTTTTATGTTTTAGTTGCATGAATTAATGCTATTTTTAAATTTACTGCTCTTTAGAATAATGTTTCTAGTTCAGTTGCAGTGGGTGTCAAAATATAAAAACACTGTAATCCAATTTTTGTATCTTCATATTGTTTTTCTTGAATGCCCTATATGTAATAATTCTGTAAGAACATTGCCGATTTTACTTTGTAATATTGAAAACCACAGGACACTGTATTTGAAACTATTTGAACACTTTTAGTATTCTCAAAGCCAAGATTACTCAGATTCCAGCACTTTGTCTATTAGGCATCCGTCTCTTTGTTACACTCCACTCTCATCCATTTACTCATAAGATTTTAATAATATGAACCTTTGTACCCCTTTACGAGAAATTGTAATTTGATCAATCCTGTAAATTAAACATTGTTTTAAAATAACCATTTCCTTAAATTCAATGTGTAATGATTGGAAGAAAAACACAATACAATCGGTAATGGATAGATGAATAAGAAAATAGTTAACTAAAAGAGCGTGTAACATTGCCAACTGAGTCCACTGATGGTATTATTTCAGTCCTGCATAAACATATTTAAAGGTAATTTACTTGCTTTTTATATCTTTGGGGGGTTCATGAAGCAGGATATACTCAAGGGGATTTATGGCTTTTCCTCTGTCACTCTTTGAATGCATGTCATGGAGTTTTGGCTGGCTCACACAAACACTCCCTATTTAGTTTTGGGATATTCTGATGGGATCTCTCTACCACCGTTTCCAGCTACTCATTCCTTAAGTGACATTATGGAGAAGGGGATGTCACTTCCTCTTTTAGATTTTGATCAATTTGGCTGTTAAACTGATTTAAGAAGAATATTTTATTCAACCCACATGCTATTATCCATAACCAAAATAGTAGTATTGAATGAACTGAGGTTTTAAAAGGCAAAAACAAATCGTTTACTAATGTATAGAACCAAAATCATATCTAACATAATTCAAGAAGCATCAATTCAGTAGTGCTTTATTTGGTGGTACACTAAAACATTCAACAATATGTCTTGGTAACCTGAAATAAATTACTATATTATATAATTACTTTTGTTAGTCTGACATTCTAAATAATGCTTTAATTAAAATTACATTAAATGGCTGCAAGTAATGTTAGATATATCATTGGTCTTTATCTTGAACTGATATGCACACTGGACCACATGACTGCACTTACATATGGCCACGTATTATATACAAATAATTTAGTACAATTAGGTCACAGTATGTATTTGCTTGTATACCATTGGATTAATGAAGATAGAATGCTGCCAAGTACAGGTTTATGAAAATACTAAATAAAATAATTGCATCCATAAATAAGGAGCAGAAAACACAATGTTTCACTTGAACATAGAAGTTGTTTTCTACCACCCCCCAATTTTTTCTCACTACATAGAAACCTGCAACACATCTAAATGTCAACAGTAAAATCTACAAAATGTTCACCTTTCGTAAGGAAATTCCATTTATTCTTCCATTCGTTACATCAATTCCTTTTCATTGATAATAGCAATGAAATATTGCTAATTTAAATGTAAAAATGGCACATCAAGATTTACTTAAAACATTACACAGTTGCAGGCTGTGCAACTCTATCCAGAAACAATGTTCGTTACCAATATTGTGTAGACTGAAAGATCTTTTTGGGTACAGGCCAATCAAAACATACCGTATGCAATTTACAGCTGAAAACCTTGTGCCCAGCACTTCTGTTATTTCAAGTGTTCATCAAATTCTTTTGATTAAGTGGTAATTTCAAAAATTTTAGTCAACTATTTAAAATAGGTAGAACAATGTTTGTTATGTCTTCCAGGTTTTCTACCAAGAATATGTTAGCAATTTCACTTGTATTTCCCTTTTATCTGCCATGTTAAATATGATATTCTTAAGTTCCTTTTTAGATGCAGACATAAATATTGGAATAGCAATTTACTCATGCCTGCACCCTTTAATTTGATAAAGTATACTTTACATTTAGTACTCTACCAATGCTCACATGTTCCTTGCAGATTTGTATTGCATTCTTTTGTAATGAAGTATTCATAAGACTAAAACTGCATCTCAGAAATAAAGAACATTTTAAAAAACATACAACAGTCACAACTCAGGGTTATCAGCTGTAAGAAGGGGCTTTGTGCTTTGCAAATATTTCCACTATCGTTAAAAGTTATTTTTCTCAGCTATTTCTATTACTGTGATAAAAATGACTATTCTTGATATATTCTACATCTAAATGAGACCATAAACTAACACAAAAAAATATATTGTATACCTGAAAAATTAATATTCGTAATGTAAAATAGATTTCCTATTGGATGCACACATCTTACAATATACACAGTTATATACAAAGCTAAAGAAAATTATTATTTCAACGTTTAGAGTATGTGGGGTATACACACTTAACAATTATTTTGTCTTATGTGTTCCCTTTTGGTCTGTTAGATATGAAAGTGTTTAGTTACATCTGCTAAATACGTGCAAAAAATACCTTTTGATCCTGACAGAAATCTTGTCAGCTAATACCTATCTGTGTTCTATGCATGTACTGCACTTAATTATATTGTTCTCAGCTATCTCAGAGGACTATAGAAACCTTCATGCCTATGTTATGGAGAAAAGGAGGGGGAGATACTTGTAGTTCAAATCAGATGGGCATCCTAGGGTGATCAGACTGCTCCGCCATAGGTACAGTATGATGAGTAAGCATTGTCATCATAGGAGCTATAAGAAAATGTAAAAACCACATAAAATTCATAGAACCTATCTTAGAAATAGTTATCTAAAAAAGATAGACCATCAACAATTACTATATATCTAGTTATTAAAAGAGTAAAATCTAGTCACAGCCAAACATTTTTTTTTCCATTTTATGGTTGTTTCACAAATTAACTTTTTTTTCTACTGTTGTTACACATACATTACAAATCCACATGTTGGTGTCACCTACCCTTAATGATTATCCAAGGTATAGAATAAACATGGAATTGTGGAATCCACTAGTGGGGGAATGCACCAGTGACAAGATCACTAGGCTATGCGGGGATAACACTTAGCTGCTTTTCTATGTGTCACTCTCTTGTCAGCTTTGGCTGCAGAATGTAAGTTGCCAACAAGAGAGCTGTCACAGTTCCTTGTACATTGATCCGTTGCCGGGTTTACCCCACTGTCCGAGCTGCTCAGTTTCCTGGCAAGCCATCCTAAACCTAGGTGTTAAATGGCTTGTGTACCTGTGCTTTAGCGTTCGTGCAACGTGTCTCTACGCTGGTAGCCGGACCTCCCTGTTTTCTGTGGCGTGTGCTGTTTGAGTATACCTTCTATCCAGTGTCTTTGCTTGCTTGCTCTTGTTGTTTTGAGTGCTCCTTTCCTGCTATGCTCTTGTTTTCCCTGCGTATTCTGTCTGTGTACCTCTTTGGTTTGCTGTGGCTGTGTGTTCACTCTCCACAGCATTGTCTCTTGCTCTTGTTTTCAGGTTGCCTCTTGCTCCTGTGGTTATTTTGCTTTGCACTATAGTGCACCTCCATCCTTTCTCCTGTGCATTCCCCTCTGCTGTTACTGTGTACCTCTTGTTCTTGTGGTTATACCTGTTGTGTGTTCCCTTCTGTTACCTGCTCCCTGTGTCATGCATGTCCTATATGTCTTCCCTCTAGTGCCTATTTTTGTACCTTGTATCCTCTATGCACCCTGTGTCTTGTCTGCTGTACTGTAGTCCCTGTGTACTCATTGACACTGTGCCTGCACTGGTGTGTCAGAGAGTATCAACCTGGGAGCTGCCCTGCAGCTCAACATCCACACCATCAGTGGCTCTGGTGAAGACCAGGTGGCTCCTTAGATCCGACAACTCTGGCACACTGCCTTTAATTGTGCGGTCACACTGTCCCGGCATCTTCAGAGACCTGTATCCCTGCACATTCCCAACTCTGTCACAATATACTACTCCGCAAGACCCGGAGTTTACGATTCTTGGTGCTCCAGTTCCTCAATTGTGACAAGAGCAATACCTCGCTCTTCCACCTGGTGAAGAAGCAACAGATGGTGAGGTCAGGTGAGTGTTTTACTTTCCTGCAGTGTGACACTAGCCAAGAGATCATTCAAATAGAAGTGCTAAACCAAACAGAAATATGAATGTTGATTTTGTCTTTAGCAGTACTGGTCTTCCACCCAGTGAATGTAATACATAGTATAGTACTTTATTTATAGATGCCTCTGAATCACAAGATCCCATAATGCTTAGCTCTAGGTCTATGCAATAGTGTGTCTCTGCCTCCGGGTGCTGACTTGGTATAAGTCCACCTTCACCAGCCAATACACTTCAAAAAGATCCATGCACCCCACTCCTTATCACCAATACTCCTGGATTCTGCAGGACTGTCCTAGAAGTGAAATACAAACCCAGCATCCTGTGGGCCCAGGCTGTGTGCTGGAGCCAAGCACAGAAACACTTGTGCCAGTGCCTGGAAAAAGAGGGAGAAAGTAGAAATGTGGAATACAGACTATTACAAAGTAAGTGCACACTAAGCACTAATGTACCACTTCATCCCCCACTGACCACCAATGTGCCTCTTTAACCCCATTGACCACCAATGTACCCCATCAGTCCCCACTGACCATCAATGTACTACTTTAGCTCCTACTCACCACCAGTGTACCCCATCTGCCCCCACTGACCACCAAAGTAGCCCTCCCCCCCCCACTGACCACCAATGAAGCCCATTAGCCCCCACTGATTACCGATGTACCCCATCAGCTCCCTTTAACCCCCACCCAGCCTGCAAGGACATTTACTGTATCCCTACAGCTTCCACTGACCATGGTACCTTTTCTCCCCTCTCCACTGACCTCCAGTGTACACCTTCAGCCCCCACTGGCCACCATGGAATCCCCTCAGCCCCCGCTGACCTTCAGTGTAC